ATATCTATCTATCTATATATATATCTATATATATATATATATATATATATATATATATATATATATATATATATATATATATATATATATATATATATATATATATATATATAAAGTTGTGTAATTGTACACTCCATAATATGTTAAGATGAAAATGTTCTAGACTGTGTATTATATAATTTCCATACCCAACGCAAGCAGAAAGATGTTGTCAGGTTCAAGACCCAGCCGCGGCAGACAACATCTTTCTGCTTGCTAATAAAGATTAACTTAGAACTGCGCCTCGCGTTTTATATCGGATAAAACACTCTTACTCGTGTTTTAAATAGTATACATAATTATACAAAATGCTCACATTTTGAGAAACTACAACTGTAATGACTCTTCCACATAATGCAAATTTTGGCATATTTTCGGACAACTTTTGTAGCCGGTTAGTAAAAATATATACAATTACAAGCGTGCGCGAACTAAAAAGGCAGAAAATCATAAAAGAAAGGACGAATCCGATAATTTTTAGTATAGCAATTGTATTCTAATTAGATATTGTCAGTGTCATATCTAGCGAATGAAAATTATGTCTGGTCGTATCGGCAGAAAAATGCTTAGCATACGGTATATAAATATTATGGATTGCCACAGGGTTCTATATTAGGCCCTGCGATGCATGCACCGATATGGAAATTCAGTAATTCACCGATATTCCGATAACCGATATTGAAGGACGGATATTTTGCCGATACTAATACCCGGATATTCTATGTCATTTCACCAAATCAGAAAAATGACACGATGTTTTGAATCTAATTCAATTTATTTGTTTCCAAATACTGAAAATATCAAATGAAATGTTGCAAATGCATACAACAAACTAGTATATTACTATGTCAGTGACTGTTTATTTGTAATAAAAATAACTATTGAACTGCAACTATAACCAATCATTAATATTTATTAACAGTTTGTAATATCGGTAATATCAACAACAAAATTACCGATAGTCCGATATTTCTATTTTAGTACCGATAAGTCAATACCGATATGGATATCGGTGCATCACTACACCTATACCTTACGTGAACGACCTTCCAGATGCAGTGAAGAACTCCAAGGTTTCATCTTTCGCAGATAATACAAAGGTATTTAAGTGCATTGACTCCATCTCGGATGCTGGCTTGCTCCAAAGTGACCTGAGTAGTCTGGGCAATAGACCTTTTTAAAAAGTCTACCTTGTGACGTAGTTTGCGGATAAAGGAAAACCCCGCACAGCCATTTGGCTTGCCCGGATTGGCCAAATGATCGTATTTATCAGAACCCGATCGACTTCCTCTACGAGATAAAGAGCAAAACACTGGACATTTCGTTGGAAGAGAAATACCTAGGTATTTGGGTTACTGGTGCGCTTACCTGGTCAAAACACACCTTTGACTGTTGTGCAAAGGCTAACACGTTGCTTAGCTTCCTGCGCAGATCTGCTGTGGCCTGTGGAAATAAAAAATCCAAACACCCGCCGCACGCTCTATACCTGGCAATAGACAACTTGCATGTTAGACTAAATTTTAATCTAAGCAGAGAAAAGGGAATCAAACACCGCAGCTAAAAAGAACTTACTGAAATTAGTAAAAGTGCAAAATTTGGCTGCGAAATGTTGTAAAGCTTGGAAAATATAGCCTTGCAAAATTTGCATATTTTCAGTATATTTGTATTACGAGCGGAAATTGTTACCATTTTCGGCTCAAAAATGGTAACAATTTCCGCACGTAATACAAATATACTGAAAATATGCAAACTTTGCAAAGCTATATTTTCCAAGCTTTACAACATTTCGCAACCAAATTTTGCAAGTTGACTAATTTTAATAAGTTCTTAACGGGAATTTACTTTTTTTTCCTAGATCGGCTAGATCAAAAATTTGTCTAACATGCAAGTTGTCTATTGTGCGTGCTGTATTAGACCACTAAGTCTGGTCCCCGTAGTCAATGGAACTAGTCAGAAAGGTAGCGCGCCGAGCTTCAAAACTTTATCCTTAAATATAAGCTGCCCCGCTTCATGTGTACAGAATCCTACAATGACAGACTGATGTCTATAAATCTGTTACCAATCTCTTATTGGATCTTGACTTGATGTTCTTTTTTATAAAACTGACCATAAATGGTATTATAACTGTTTCGAAAGAAATCTTGCAGAAACGATCTAGTCCCTCAAGGCCTACTCGATCGTCTTCAAATAACATTGTTATAATCTTGTACCGTCCTCGTATTTGTAAGACAGTCATCTATCAACGGTCATTTTTTATTAGAGCAACTAGAACCTGGAACTCTTTACCTGAACAGTTAAGACTAGAACATTTATCTCTAAGTACTATTTAAAAAACGAGCAGGAGTGTTTTATTAGGTTTTAGCTTTAGACCTAATAAAACACGACCTGCGAGTTTTTTAAATGGCTTCAAAAACGTATGCATATTAAGTCAAATCTTTATATAAAAATCTTTATATAAAAATCTTTATATAAAAATCTTTATATAAAAATCTTTATATAAAAATCTTTGTATAGTTTGCATAACAATGGTCTTTTGTTAAAGTGTTCTTTAGCTGGTATAAAGACGTATGCACGTGACTAATTTCTTACTCAAGATTGGATAATTGGTTCATGAATTATTGAGTTTTTGAACATTATTTAAAAAGTCACCATCAGAATACTACCATAATGTCCTCGCGATCGTATCTTGTTACGACGTGGATGATGCTCGAACCTGGAAAACTGTTTGCCTGAAGTGCATGAAACACATCGCGCAATCTAATGGATATCGACCCGTGTTGCTACTAGATTAATTGGGGTTTTTTATTATTATTTTTTTTGTCTGTATAATTTGTCACTAATTTAATTGTGGTGTCCCCGCCTCTTGCTCTGTCTCATGTATATATGAATTGTTGTACTTTGTTGCCTGTGTACGTTTTTTGGCAATGCAAAGCTAAATAAACACATTATTGTCAGACGTACAGACATTATTAGAGTATTCTACGACTATTTACAGGATGTCCACTCTTTGGTGAAGGTGAAACTCAACGACTTTTAATTTCCAGCACTTTCAAGACCCTTTTTCAGTAAATTCAAGGACCTAGAACTGGGAAAAAGCTTTGAAAATGGCACGGAAATAATTCACTTTATTCTGAGTAATTTTAATCAGAATCACTAATGTTGGCACAGCTGGATTCCAGGACTTTCAAGGACTTCTACTGATTTTCAAGGACTTTTCAGTTCTGGAATTTTTTTTCCAATTCAGGGACTTTCCAGGATTTTCAAGGCCCGTGGACACCCTGTATTTAAAACACGAGCAGGAGTGTGCACATGCAGCTGGAAACTTTTTGTCCAAGGAGAAAATGTGCCATTTTTGTGGAATTAAAGTACCCTTTTCCAGCAATTAAAGAGGAATTATAAATGCCTCTTTAAGCTAAGAAGTCTACAAATGCCCTCGGTTGGCAGAAGTCAAAGTATCGTTAGGATAGTGTACGTTTTTAGGAAAAAACAAATAATGTAAATTAGATTGAATTGATGAGTAAATTTGTGGTTAATGTAGGACGCAGAGCTATATATTAGAGAATACGTATAACATCCGAGACTGTATATAGCATGTGTCCAAACCTCTAGACCTTCCAAGAACACATCTAACATATTCAGAATGTTTTATGACTCATGTGCCCGTTCTGGTCAGCGCCCCCACTTTCGAAGTGCTTTCGCGAACTCTAGGACTGTAACTATAGGATTTTAGATTCAGACTGTCGAGACGCCGGGGCATGCTTCCCCAGAAAATGTTTGATTTTCTAAGGCTTATAGAAACGCTATTTCCTGCATTCTGGGAGCAATTTTAACAATAGTAAAGATAAAGTGACACAATGACAATAATTTCATAGTCTTCCACTCTTCCTGCATTCTGGGAGCAGTTTTAAGAACAAAATCAATCTCATAAACAGTGACACAATGACTCTAATTTCATAGTGTGTTTCACAATTGTACTACTTACTATACAAGTATCCAATCATAAAGAATTCAAGTACTCTTGGTCCAACATGATCAGGTGCATAATAAAAAACGTGTTTGTGGTAATATTTGGGACGCTAATTCGTACTTCTGCCCTTCATCAGAAATTGAATAAATTTCATTCAGGATCTGTTTTCTCTCCAAAACTTGAGGTCTTCCTGTTTTGAATTTTTTCTTCCTGTTTTGGCTTGGCTTGGCTGACTCACAGCTATAAGTTACAGGTCTGGCCTCGCTGACAGCCTGACCCAGTCTACCATTAATGAATTTCGAAACAGAGCGTGAATTGATGATATACAGGCTGACAATTAGAGGCGGACAAATATTTGCCCGCGACATTGATGGGAATATAATTGCACGACATTATCATGGCTTTATTGATAGATGAATAGCATGTAAATAGAGCATCTCCTATATGTACAGACGTACGAACATACCGTCAATCTTAAAACGATAAATAGAAAATATAGAACTGTTTATACGAGTATTTCTGGGGACGATGGAATTGAGCCACGCCTTTCTTGTGGAGCAAACGAAACACCCCTCTATTTCGCCTCAGCATCCATTAACCAGTAGTGTGCCATACTACAGTTCAAACTATGCGAGAATAAAAAACCTCGGATATTATCATCTGCCAAAATAGTTTTCGGGACGATTTCATGAAGACATTTCTTTCGACGAAACTAGTTGTTCGGTTAACCGCCATTTTGAATCGTATAGGATGTGGAAAGGAATTTCAATGTTTTTAAGTTTGGCTTTTTATTCAGTTGTATGATACATTTTATTACATTTTACATGTCGAGAAAAAACTTTCTTGGCTGAACTCCATTTTCAGTCGACGATTTGAAAAAATATAGAATATATTTCATATTCTATAATATATTCGGCCAAAAATGTGCATCTTGAAAATCCAAGATAGGGTCAAAATCAAGACAAATTATAAAATTACAAATTAATAAAATTGTACAGTAAAACTGTATTGTGAAACTAATTATAATAATTCATGAAGAAAACACAAAAGAAATCATGAGCATGAACTAGTTTGTATATCTGCTACAAAATCATGCTGATTTACATACACTTTAAGTTCAATTTTCTCACCAAATATCATTCATTTATTCTAAATTGTTGAAGAATACGAATGTTCTCATCAAGACGTTTCACAAGCCATTTACAACATTCGCCTTGAATTGGCTTTGGCTCAGGTTTGTATACGATAAAACACTGCCGCTCATGCTGTTAATAATACCAATAATGATTATATTTCGACTTTGTTTCAAGGCTTTCTTCAGACAAGAAGATTCTTCTTCTGCTTTGAAGAAAGCTTTGAAATAAAGTCGAAATATAATCATCAGTATACAAAGTGTCTTGATTTGATCCGTGTCTTGGATTTTGAAGGTACTGCACATTTTCGGAATATGTTTTATCGATATTTCTTGGCAGAAAGTCGTGAAATTTCAGGACTCTACATCTCCCCTTTTCCTATATTTTACTAACTGTTTTGCCAATGCACCTTACAAGTACTCAGAATATTATGAAAAGTCCTTCCAGTCAATGACCACTTACTGAGCAAAAACAACTGAAACAGAAAGATCGTCACAAATCTTCAAAATTCCACACAGTCAGAGTCAGCAGATACAAATTCTTCAATTTATGTGCAATATCTGTAAAACTAAAAGTGATAAAAATGTCAAAAAATGAACAATGAATAACTCAAACCTTTCGAGAAATTCACATATAATTTCACATGTGAAATTTTATTTGGAATTGGAGCTTCTCATACACATTTGTGTAAAATGTAGAATTACAGGAAGATTTACACATTTTTTTCACATGTAAAATTTATGTGAAAATTAATAATGAAAAAGGTTTATATGTGAAATTTAATTTCACATGTGAAATTATGGGGTCGGCAAAGGTGTATTTATCACATTTTTAAGGACTGGAATAATCTTGATTATTTTCTTAGAGAAATAGATTGCTTAATGAATATTAAATATTCAATTAAGAATATTTTAAATAGATACATTGATAAATGTTGGCTTGCCGATTTTTGTATACTTTTATAGTGACTTTTTATAACGTAATGATTGTTTAGATACTAACTTGTTATTTAATGTATTATATTTATCACTTATTTACTGAGACCGAGGGAAACAGTGTGTTTTGTGGACCCGAGACCGTCGATGTTTCCCGAGGCGAAGCCGAGGGAAACATCGACGGTCGACTGGGTCCACAAAACACACTGCTTTCCCGAAGTCTCAGTAAATAAGTGTTTTATTATATATCAATAGTCAAAGAAACAACAAATTAAAGAACAAATGAACGTAAATACATGAAATATTTTATTGTTAAAACGTTATATTAAACACTGGCTACACTGCAGTTATAAGAAGCGAAAGTTTTAATTACGTACTAGGCATGTCCAAAGGTCGCATCTTCACGTGATGGCGCACGTGATTTTTTTGTTATTCGCCGGTGGATAACGTATTATCTCCCTCTCGCGCTGTTGCGAGGGAGACAGCCTAATTTCGTCACTCTCACGTGATATGCTCTCAACCAATAAAACACTAGAAAAATGCGACTTTGACTATTGATATATAATGAATAGTATTTATTATGCAGGACCTCTATGAAAATCACGTATATGATTCGAGCTTCCTGTTAAAATATTACTTTAATAATAAAAAAAATTGGAACATGTGAAAAGTATGTAAAAATTATGCGAAAAGCCATTGTCACATATGAAATTATGTGACATTTTCGTCGGGGAAAAATAGACTAAATTGCTTGTTCGTTTGCCAAATTCACAATTTTGCATATTAAATTCACATGTCTGAATTAAGTCTTAGTCAGATATATCTTATATCTATTATACGCAAACTGAGCTATAACTGTGAATTTGATAGCATCAATTCATCAAATGTTGGCTAATTTTGTATATATTTCTAGGAATTATTACAGATGGACGTGCTCTCGACCAACACAAAATGAACTGATTTCATTCCATCCATAGAGGGGAAACTACGATCATACGAATTCCGGTCCAGTAATCAAGATTGGAGACGTGACTTAATATATATTGTGTCGACAGACATCAAATACCTTTTACATGTAAAGACAAATATTTATATTTAAAATCAATATTTTGTACATAAATTTCGTTCATGACGAAGCATTTCAATAGCCAGACATTCACGAAACATCATTCACTCATAACCTAATCAGCTATCTCGTGTTTTTGCACGAAATCAATAATCTGCAGAGCTGCAATGATTTACACCATATCAGTGTTCTAGCAACACCCAGGAATTTAGAAATATAAAAAAATATCAAGTGGTATCCTGCTGTCGTCTCTAACCTAAATTTTCTCACAGTGATAAATATATACTGAGGCATTAATACTGAGGCATTATGCAAGTTAGAAGTTTTGTAGCTGGAAAAAATGCAATTATAGTATAGTCTATACACGTATCATATTGCAGCAAAATGCAAATTAGGTAAAGGCAAATTAGGAAAAAATGGATAGTTAAAGGGCTTAAACTAAAGGAAATTGTCTGAAATTTTGTACATCAATTAAAAACCCAACAAGTTTTCCATCCATTAACTCAAAATACGAAAGCTTTTGAATTTCGTACCCAAGCCATTTTTAATTTGTTGGAAAAGAAACAGCCCCCTGGTTTACACAATTTGAGTTCGAGTACTTTTTCATTATTCTACATTATGGGTACTCAAGGAATCTATATGTAATAAAAACCAATATACCACGAGCTGTTTTGCAAAATTGAGAGCAATTTCAAATCTGTTCAGTTTTCAGTTTATACACCCTGTAGTTGCATATTTCGCAACCTGGTCAGTTATATAACCTTCCACTCAAAATTGCCATCTATAAAAATCCTTGAACTGTTTTTCGATTGAGCCGCCAGATGGCCAAAAATCTCGATATTATGCGAGTTATCTGAAAATATGAATTGGATTACAAACATGCAACGGACTTATGAACTTGTCACTGGAAACCGCCACCCTCGCCACCCTCCCCACCCAGGGGAAACATTATGGCAAGTCAGTCCGACGTGTTCACAATAGCCTAAAAATTCACCAAAGAATGCAAATATTTCAAATAGTCAGGCTGCCTCGGTGAAACCTTTTAGCAGGGGATTAGCCTCAATATTTACCGCCATAGGGCGGGGCATTTTCTTTGACCCCCCCCCCATTTCGGTCTAATCCCCATGTTACCCCAGGGTGGGGAGGGTGGGGGTTTCCAGTAACAAATGCATTAGCTCACTCAGTATATCGATTAGTGAATTTTGAAGCAGTACGTGTGGTATATATTGTCTACGATTGGTAATTTGCCCATGATGGATGATATACAGGTGGACAAATATTTGTCCGCGACATTGATAGAAATTTCACGACATTTACCATGATGAATAGCATGTAAATAGATGGATCTCCTATGTACACAAACGTACGAAAATACCGTCAATCTTAAAACGATAGGCTAAATAGAACTATTGTTTCTGGGATGTCATTCTGAAAGAACTCACTCGACTATAAGCAATTTGACTTTGAATGAAACAAATTTCAATTAAAATATTATGGAAAAAAGTGAAAGAATAATTAAATTTCAATCTGTCATTCAGTTTCTCTGACCAAAAATTAATTTCAAACGTCGCGCTTCTCATGTGCCGAACGCATTAGAACCAATAAATAATGAGGCATTTCAGCTGATTATCTATTGTTTTTAATGCGTTCGGCACATGAGAAGCGCGACGTTTGAAACAGGCCTAATACCTTGCATGGTAATGCACTTTTCTACCCAATTTACATTTTCCCCAAAATTCAGATGCTTTGTTACCAATTAAAGTTCTGATAATGTAAGTATAGAATGGAACAAAGGTAACCAAGCATTTAAATTATATATGCGAGTGAATTGATAACTCACATGCCTAGTTACCACTGTTCTGATAATGTAAGCATAGAATGGAACAAAGGTAACCAAGCATTTAAATTATACAGGGTGTCCCAAAAAAAAGTGACACTATAGAAATTATCCTATTGTTATAATTTGAATGCCTAGCACTAAGTTGATCCCACAGGTGCATAAAGTTCTGCTTCTGGAATTTAAAATAAAAAAGCAAACATTTATTAGTGTAATCGTTTTGCTTGACTCGGGCTTTAAAATATTTGGACAAAGCGAAAACGTTTTAAAATGCTTAAATGTAAATACAAGTTCGTTAAATTCCCAGGCGTGATTAATCACGCGCGTTTAAGACCGGCTTAAGAACAATGAGATAATTTCTATAGTGTCAAATTTTTTTGGGACACCCTGTATATGTGAGTGAATTGATAACTCACATGCCTAGCTACCACTGGTCTGATGATGTATTATCTATTATCATTGGTATTCAGTGATCACGTTTACACAGAGACAAGCCGACTCGACTCAAATTTCAAAACAAACAACTTGGAGTTTTAATATTCTACAGGCATATGCGTCGATTTTTCGCGCGCCATTTTTAGGGAAAGTTTCATCTAGATTCTAGGAAACGACATAAGGTTTTTTCTATTCGAATTGGTTCAATTAACGATATTTTAGTTCTAATAGCACTTGATATCACACTGATTGCAACGCAGTTGGGGTTCACAATGTCAACTGAGTGTCTCAAAACGTGAAGATCGTATTGATGTTTTGACTTCAAAGTTCAAACATTATGTCCTAATCAAACAGTCGTCTTAAATATTCAAGAGTTAAACATGAGATTAGAGTCGTATTTCTACGTATTTGTAATATTTCTAACCCTCAACGTTTCACAGGTAAGTGGCAAAAGAAACATTAAATTTCATTGTCGTTATCCTGGCTACAGGCACCGACATGCATTAAGGTCCAGACACACCGAACGCGACGCGAATTTTCAGTTTTTAAAAACAAATAAAACCGTCAACGGATAAAAATTTGTAAAAGTTGTAAATAGGCAAAAGTTGTGTAGTGTAAATCGATCTAAATTAAACTTCGAAATGAACGAGCTATTCACTACTATTACAAATTTATCACCAAATTTCCTGTTTTGACTTAGATTGAAAGAGTATATTATAGTATCATGATTTTATGAACTAGCTGAGAGGGGCCTAACTATAGGCTAGGAATACGATAAGTTGTGTTCGCACTGTTTGACAGCTTGTTCCCAGTTGTAATAAGTTTGGAACAAGCTTGATGGCATTTATCAGACTTGTTGCAAGTTTGTTCCAACAAGTCTGATACAGTCATTGATATAGCAAGAATGTTACAAGGTTGACGACACAAGGTTGTAACAGTACTGTTATATCATGACTTACCGGACTTGTTGGAAAAACCTTGCAACAAGTCTGATAAATGCCATCAAGCCTCTTACAAGTTGTTAACAGCTTGTTCAAAACTTGATCGTGCTTAGTGAAACACGAATAGTAATAATTCATGAGGAGAATTCAAAAGAAATGAATGTTTAATCAATGTTTGTAAATCGGATAAAGATTTGTCCTGATTTACATAAACTTCAGCTTTGATTTTCTCGGCTTAGACAATGTTTATTTTTAAAATTACTTCGCCAATGAACTCATAAAACATAAGATGGGTCGTTTTATAAGCACGATAAAACATTCGCATCAGATCTTTATCTGATGTACAAACTCTCGCTTTCGGCTCGAGTTTTTATATCAGATAAAGATCGGCTGCTCATGCTTGAAATACTGAGTACTTAAACATTAGCAAACATTTTACAATATTTTTAGAATGGGGTGGACAGTCTTAACAACATTGGTTTAATGGTGTACAACCTTACACGTCTACCAACGAATGAAACGTGTGATGCTGGAGACGGAAACTGCAAATACTCTATGACCTTACGCTTCTTATTTTCTGAAAAGCCCGACGTTTTACTTTTTACTCTCCCAACATTAACATGGGTGATACAACCAGGGCAGAGCAAGATAATTAACATTTATGAAGACGTTGCCAAAGACACATCTAACCCTCTGAGAGTGGAGATCTATCAATTATGGAACGCGGCAAGTGGAATATAGTAGTATTGATATAGATGACACAGTATATAGTTAGTGTACGTGTCTTTCATCTGTGCGAACAGGGTTTAATTCCTGCAATATAACGAGTTATCTAATTATATAAATTTCACCTCAGTCAGAGGCAATGAAGGCTTTTGTTCGGCCATTCTTAGGAAAAACAGTTAAGTTTGGAACTGATAGAGCTATCCAGTATAATTAAAGCTAGTTTAGTTTAGGTTTCCTCCTGTAGTAACACTGGATCAATAAGAGATGATCCTCACTGGACCTCAGGAAGAACAGTTTAGAACTGATAGATCAAGCTGTCCAGCATAAATGTGAGTTCTGTAAATTGGATGAAATTGGATATGCACAAACTTTAGCTACGTTCTTTCTATTATACTTTATAGAAATTATGGGCTCTCCTCGAGGCAGATGTTTGGAAACAGGGTACAAATGCTACTTTTATTGAGAGACTTCAAATTAATGAGTCACTACCGTATCCCATTAACGACATAAACAAATTGTTAGCGAACCAGTTTCGAAACTGTGGCAATCACTTCTGTTTGACGGTGGGACTCTACATGTGGTGTGATGATATCAACGCCTGTGTAGGTGGGTAATAGGAAGGGGGGGGGTAAAGGTATCACACCCAGTTTTGTCTCGGAATTGCGCTCTACATGTGATCTAGCAATATCACTGCCTGCCTGGGTGGGTTTCTTGTGTAGGGAAAGAACCAAGGGGTACTAGGGGAGTGTAGAGGTAATGCATCAGTATCAAGGATCAAGGAGGAGGGGAAATCTCTTATTGATCCAGTGTTACTACAGGAGGAAACCTAAACTAAATTAACTTTATTTATACTGGATAGCTCTATCAGTTCTAAACTGTTCTTCCTAGAGGTCCAGTAAGGATCATCTCTTATTGATCCAGTGTTACTACAGGAGCAAACCTAAACTAAATTAACTTTATTTATACTGGATAGCTCTATCAGTTCTAAACTGTTCTCTCTAGAGAGCAAACCTAAACTAAACCAACTTTACTTATAACTGTGGCAATCGATACACCAGGCGGAAATCTTAGTTTAAAGATAAAGAGCAGAGCCCAGCAAATAACTTTAAAGCCAAACATAATAAAAGTAAAAATTTATTTGTTAGCTAACGTTTCGTTGTTTACAATACAACATCTTCAGAGCAATCTAAATGAATTTACAGGGTATGGTATATATATTTACAAAATAATGGTTTAATATTAAACCATTATTTTGTAAATATATATACCATACCCTGTAAATTCATTTAGATTGCTCTGAAGATGTTGTATTGTAAACAACGAAACGTTAGCTAATACATTTTTTACTTTTATTATGTTTGGCTTTAAAGTTATTTGCTGGGCTCTGCTCTTTATCTTTAAACAACTTTACTTACCCTGAATAACTTTATCAGCAAAACACTGTTCTCTCTAGAAGTCCAGTAAAGGCTATATATCAACCTCACGAGGTTGCCAAAGAACATTTATTAATATAATTATTTGTTTTCTATCATTGTTTTTCTAGTAAAAACTCCACCCCCACCTCCAGTCATATCAAGTTCTGATGTAATACTGAATACCTCTGCTCTCTCCAAAACAAGAATTTATATATCAACTTCTAATGCAATGCACAGTACATCAGCTCTCACCAAAACAAGAACTTATATATCAACTTCTAAAATGCTGAATACCTCTGCTCACTCCAAAACAAAACCTTATATATCAACTTCTAATGCAATGCTTACTACCTCTGGGACTTATTCATCAGTAACGTTAGAAACATACAAATCCACCGCAAACAAAGACACAATCGCATCGTCAAAAGTATACAAAACTAGTAGTGGTATTGAACCAACGGAAACTGTCCCTGAAAGCAGTAGTGTTACCACAACAAACTATATCACACCTCGTTCGCCTCAAGCAAGAGATCAAAAGAATGTGGTCACACGCTGGTGGTTCTGGGTGGTTATGGTATCGATGGTACTGCCTGTGATGGTGGTTGTCATGGTGATACTGAGGTACAAAAATAAAAGGTAATCAATTAACTAACATACGAGATAACCAACCTACACACTTATCATGTAATCACCCTAACCAATAATTACGTCATCAGATTTCGGGTTTAGCCCCTATGTAATCAGGCTATGGTGAAGATCTAATTCAATTGATGCCTCAATTCTGGCCAACCACAGTCCACTTAACCATTGACCAAAGGGAAAAGTACATTCAATCTTAAATAATCGTTTTTCTAATTCATCAGGTCGCCTACAGTTGTCATAACCACGTCAAAATCAACACATGCTGGAATCGTAATAGAAAACCAGGCTGTGGGAAACGATGTTCTAAACTTGACAATCATAAGGCAATAAAATAGTTGGGGAAATATCAATAACAAATAATATAATTAGGAACTGCAGAGACTACAGAGTACTCTACAATGAGACCAAGAATTTCTTAGTCTTGAAATTAGCATGGTCAAGACTTGGATAATCTTGGAAAGAAACATTTAAATGTATTTAAAATACTCATTAATAATTCATAAACCTTGTGGCAAATCAAGTCAGCCATAATATGTCACGTGGAGTGACTTTATATCTGATAAAACATGTGGCATTATATAATTGTTCATCCTAATTAGTATTCTTTTGTAGTCGTATTTTAAGCTATTCAAAACACTCGTTGTCGTGTTTTATCAGACATAAAACGCTCGGCTGCGCCTCGCGTTTTATATCTGATAAAACCATAGATATCTTATATACACTAGATAGCGCATCTCTTTAAGTAAAATTGAAGCCAAGAATATTCCAGCGGTTACCCCCATTCGAATAGATGGCGGCCATGTTGGAGTTTCCCACTCGCTAATAAGACCAACTACCTACACTGAGAACCAACAGTTTGAAGTATAGACTAGTGAGAATCTACCACAAAGGACGTGTATTTCAAGACCACTACCTACACTGAGAACCAACAGTTTGAAGTTTAGACTAGTGAGAATCTATCACAAAGGACGTGTATTTCAAGACCACTACCTACACTGAGAACCAACAGTTTGAAGTTTAGACTAGTGAGAATCTACCACAAAGGACGTGCATTTCAAGACCACTACCTACACTGAGAACCAACAGTTTGAAGTTTAGACTAGTGAGAATCTACCACAAAGGACGTGTATTTCAAGACCACTACCTACACTGAGAACCAACAGTTTGAAGTTTAGACTAGTGAGAATCTACCACAAAGGACGTGTATTTCAAGACCACTACCTACACTGAGAACCAACAGTTTGAAATTTAGACTAGTGAGAATCTACCACAAACGACGTGTATTTCAAGACCACTACCTACACTGAGAACCAACAGTTTGAAGTTTAGACTAGTGAGAATCTACCACAAAGGACGTATATTTCAAGACCACTACCTACACTGAGAACCAACAGTTTGAAGTTTAGACTAGTGAGAATCTACCACAAAGGACGTATATTTCAAGACCACTACCTACACTGAGAACCGGCAACAGTTTGAAGTTCAGGCTAGTGAGAATCTATCACAAAGGACGTGTATTTCAAGACCACTACCCACACTGAGAATCAACAGTTTGAAATTTAGACTAGTGAGAATCTACCACAAAGGACGTGTATTTCAAGTATTATATAGCTATAGAATAATTGACATGGTTGCGCGGAAATACCAGATTTATTTCGAGTGTTGAACATGATATCTCACGAGTGAGCGCAGTGAACGAGTGAGATATCATGTTCAACCCGAGAAATAAATCTGGTATTTCCAATTACCCATGTATTTTTCTGTTTATTATATAAAGGACAGTAGGGCTTTGAAAAGCGATAATTTTTACAGAAAAGCGATAATTTTCACATGTGAGATTATCATAAATAATCTCACATGTGAGATTATCACTTTTATCAGTGCTCGAAATCTCTATAAAGCACTATACTTTATATAATAAAATGTAATAACTTACTTGGTAAAACTACAGTATAGTTCTCCAAAATAAAATTAGGTTTAGTGTATTTATCCATCAAGGTCCAGTGACAAACATAATTTCCCCCATCTCTAGAACTGTTGACAACAACTGAGTGAATAATTTCTTCAGTATGACTCCCTACCATATAGTTTACGTTTTTCGTTGCAAGCACATTTCCATTTTTTATCCAGGACAAAATAAGATAGTATTCAGCTCGAAAATTGTCATTATCATACGACACAGAGCAATTCAAAGCAACACTTTCTCCAACTCTTCCTGGCTCTAATGTGACTGGGTGTATCTTTGGCACTGCTTTGGCTACAAAATAAAGGTCAGAGCCTAGGTACGAGGTTGAATAAAGGTATGATCTGATACATACAATAAAAAATATACCATATTTGAAGAGTTTATTATTATAGCAACAGCATTAAACAGCAGTGTTCAAATTTCAAAAACAAGACACTTGTCAGTCTTAGCAAGCTTTCGACATACTTCGAAGAAATACAGCTTCAAGTGAATGATATAACCTTGCAAATGGACTAGTATTTAATTGATTAAAGTACAATTAGTTCCCTTGACGAATGAGAACGAAATAATCAGGCATTAGATGAAGTAAAATAGCTTATAGTGCGTTGAACAAGATCCGCCATGTAAAGTGTAGTGAAATGTATCTCATCGTAATATTAAATCCTAAGAAAACTAAAGCCTCTGCGGAGGAGAGAGGTAAACCACTGTATCAAGACAATATGGTATTAACGTGCTGTTTTTCCATAGAAATAACAGTTGGCACGTTCTGTGCCAACGTATTGTAGGTCACTAAGTGACAAAAATTTAAAAACACCAGAAAAAGGCAGATGCATGGAGGATTCAACTACCTGGAAAACTTTGACGTTTCGAGCAAATGCCCTTCGTCGACAAAACTAATATTTCCATGTGTTTTTCGTGAATTATTTAGTATCGCACAGTAGTAGACATACATGTACCTTTCAGAACTTTGATTGGAAAATAATATCTAAAATCTCCTAACAAGGGTTCCACTTTACATAGATAAAATCGAAGACTCTGTACATCTGGAGGCCCTTGTAGACGTAAAGTACTTGTGAATATTCCCGCACCTAAAACAACATGAATAGCAGTTACTACTTGCTACTAGTCTGAGGAGACTCAGGAGAAGTTTCATTGCACCTAAATGTACCCTACTGTATTATTTTACTCCAAACCGACTGTCTAAACCAGACAAATTTACTTGCCAAGGGGACGGTGCTCAATGGGGTGAATGGAAAAAATTCATAGTTAGCACATTAATTCAAAAACGATTGTCCTTTGCAAACCTTAAACCCTAAACCTTAAACTCTAAACCTTAAACTCTAAACCTTAAACTCTAAACCTTAAACTCTAAACCTTAAACTCTAAACCTTAAACTCTAAACCTTAACCTCTAAACCTTAACTCTAAACCTTAAACTCTAAACCTTAAACTCTAAACCTTAAACTCTAAACCTTAAACTCTAAACCTTAAAGTGCATATGACATGAATTTTTTTATTTTCTTAAATGGAAGAACTCTTTGAGCTGTAGTGTAACTTATTTTTCTGTTTCTTGTTTTTATGGTTTGTTCCTGAGATATTTCAATTTGTTTGATATGTAAATGAGTGTGAATATGTCCGCTAATTTATGACGTCACGTTGGTTGCAAGCTCTTCAAAATGGTTGAATATCACGGCTATCATCCAAGATAATAATTTCTAATTTCACTCACTGGTAAATGTGATAAAATACTGGAGAAAAACGTGAACTGATATCTACAGTTTGTAGAGTTAATAGATTTAAAACCAGTGTAAGTTAAGCTTGCAACCAACGTGACGTCATAAATTAGCGGACATATTCACACTCATTTACATATCAAACAAATTGAAATATCTCGGGAACAAACCATAAAAACAAGAAACTGAAAAATAAGTTACATTACAGCTTAAAGAGTTCTTTCATTCAAGAAATAAGAAACTTCATGTCATATGCACTTTAAACCTTAAACTCCAAGCGTGCAAAGCATAATGGGAGCATTGTTTAATCAGTTTAGAAATTATCGGGGCTCATTTCTTAGAGGCATGGTGAATATCTCCTTAGAGAACAATCCATTCACAAATAGCTGCAATATTCAACTACTAAGCTTGAAACGTGTGCTCCAATTGACCATTTGCGTAATAGACTAAATTTTGAACTAAACAAGTCTAGACAAAAATTTCATCACAGCTTGAAGGAGCATCACAAAATTAGTGATATTCCAAAGTTTCGTTGCAAAATGTTGTAAAATGCGGAAAATATAGCCTTGTGAAATTTGCAATTTTCAGTCATTTTAGATTACAAACGGGAAATTGACAGCCTCGAAGGGTTTGGGGCTGTCAATTTCCCGTTTGTAATCTAAAATGACTGAAAATTGAAAACTTCGCAAGGCTATATTTTCCGCATTGTACAACATTTCGCAACGAAACTTTGGAATATTACTAATTTTGTGATGCTCTTTCAAGCTGTAATGAAATTTTTGTTGAGATCAAAATTTAGTCTATTACGCAAATGGTCAATTAAGCTTTGCGCACGTAGAGCTTAAGGTATAAAGTTTAAGGATTGCAAAGGTCAACCTTTTTTTAATTAGCTGTATATGAAGGAGAAGGAAATAAAACAACACAGGCTCTCACTTTTTGTCACATTGATAATTCTGTTAGGGTCGTTTGCTGCAATGGGGATTGCATTACCCGACACATCTGGGTCAGGCCTACTCCACGTGATTGTGCGGATTTTGTCAATTTCTGCTTTTCTACCATTAACAGTACACTGCAACTCGAATTGTTGATTTTCCACTTGGATAACTTTTTCTTGCTTTGCTGTTAACGACACTAAATGAAACATAATAAAATTTTGGAAGTGGTTTACCTAGTGTGCGAACGCTATTACTGTATCCGGCGGACCGGCACAACTGTTTTCTTGGGGCGCTTTTCATTTAATGGCCTAACCGGTCAGACCCGAATTTGTGTCTCTGTATCAATGGAAAGATCTGGTCTACGTTTCTCAAATACTCTACTCGAAAATGGACCTCATTCTAATTTTATCTAATTGTTCCGGTCGGATTGAATATATTGTGTTCCATTCAACATTTGACCGTTCTGACCAGTCTGACCGTGTCAATGGAAAGCGCCCTTGGTTCTGTCAACATGCTAAAATGACATCAAGCAAATTTATTTATGTTTCAAGCAAATCCTTGCTTTTACATCAGTTGATTTCACATCACTTTTCCCAAAATAAT